GAACGTTTTTGATACTATATTAACTTCTAAAGTATAATGTTTTTATATTTTTCAATAAATTTATTTCGCTTGTAAAAAATAAATAAATCATTTTTAACGATACAATAGCCACGGTTTTTATTTTAGAAAGTTTAAAAAAAAGCCCATTAGGCTTAACATCGACGAAAATTCATCGCGAAGCGACACGAAACGGAGAAAAATTTCAACACGGGATAGGTTAATATATTTTTTCGTATCTAATCGGTTATCCGAAAAATAAGTTATCCAAACAACCTCAGTCCCCAATTGATTCGAATAAACGACGCTCTACTGTATTCATATCTTTTGACGTTGCTTGGCAAATGTAGTACTTTTGGGTTGTCCGANGCCACGCGTTGTTGTGGCTCAAAATGTATCTATTATAAACGTATAACACTTCCCCCGTGGGGAGGAATTTTTCGAAAAATCCCTTCTTAGTGTACATTCTCTCGTACTCTATTAAAACGCAATCAAAAACGCAAAAAACCGCATCTAAAATAGTACTGTATAATAGAAGCCGAGTTCTTCACGGTAAGCCTTAATTAATCCAGTGGAGGGAATTAAGACACGTATATTATATAAAAACACGTGCGTATTCGAACGCAACGTTGTATCAAAGTTTCAAGGATTCTTTAAGAACAAACGAACATTACATTTTTATTTATATAGTTTTATATTTATATAGGAGTTATCGCTATCTGTTGGACATAAAAGCCTTAATCCTAGATGATATATTTTAATTTATATGAATGTTTAACGAAATAATATACAGCCTATGTCCACCCCGAAGGTCAATTCTAAGTATTGGTGAAAGAATTTTTGAAATCGGATGAGTAGTTTCGGAGATTANGACAGGCGGTATTTTGTTACAAATCTAAAGGTACGAGAAACCATTTACAAACTTAAATTTAAACTTATGTCCTGGCTAAAAATATTTTATTAAATGTATAATGTTTTTAAAGTGTATATGCCGCTGTCAGATGGAACTTTTTTAACGTTTTGCGTGTTGAAGCGGGGAATAGTCAAGGTCTTAGATTATAGGTTGCCTCTTAGAGAAGAAACGCTTTTCGTTGATTGCTTATTTGACATCACTCGTAGTCGAAACGAAACATCTTACTACTAGTAGCCCGGGACGCCCCCTAATGGGCGTTATTTACACATTTCCATGAGGCACGGTTCCTTTGACTTTTTGTTCCTATCAATATGCTGTACATTTCCGTTAAAGTCCCAATGGTAAGATTTACCTCTAAACTGTAGCCCCTGTGCGAACAATAAAGTCAAAGGAACCATACCCCTACTCGCGACCCTTCGCAAGATATAAGTCCGTGAAAATTCGCTTACGTCATTTCCGGTCACGTGACATCGTGGTCAAAAGGGAGCCTACCATGCGAAAAAAAATTAACGCGCGCTCGTCCACACTCGGAGGGTCGCCGACCCGCTCATTCGCAGGGTAAATTGTGGCAAACAGGCGGTTACATGTGTGAAATTCGAAGTGCATATAATTTCATAGAAGAAAGTAACCCTTTAAAATTTTAATAAATTTAAATAAAAATTCCTTTAAAACTAGAGAAAGTTGCACCTGCAGAAACGAAATTTGAGGTGCATGAGAAAAGTATAAATCTTTCTATTTAAGTATAAACATTCTCACGATCAAACCATGTATTGTTTATAATTACGGGCGAAATTCGTCATATTGTTGCCATTCTATCGCCACTTTTAACCTCACACCTGCTAAAACAATTGATCACCTGACTAATTTTTCCCACCGAAAAAGGTATAAAAGCCCGACACATTCCCCCTCCTCGGGGGAATCGCCGAACGTCGAAGTCAGACATCGCCTTCTCCATCGCAGACCTACACTTTCTTCGCCGACCTATACTTGTGTCACGCTCAGAATCCATAAAGGACGACATTACGGGAAAATATCCCACCAGTATATGCTAAGAGGTATGAACGCTTATTATTATAAACTTTCTCATCCGCGAAGTCTATGTAGTTTTGTAAAATTTTTATTTAGGTAGCTAGTAAAATAAACCGTTGTTTTGTTTTAAATGGTGTCGTTACTCGACTTTGCCAACGTCTTATCGTCNCAAGGCATATAATAATTATTTATACCATTCCGTGGTATAAATAATAAATTCATATCAATAATAAATTCCTATTACAAATAAATATAATTTATTGTTAATTTAAAATCTTCGCTAGGGCGCCTCTAGTGACCGTTTTTGGCATCCGTTACGCGGACAGACAGGTACCCGTTGAATGGGTTATATATATTAAATAGATTGGCAGAAATTTTATTTTGTACTCGACTTTTTCAAAGAAACGCAAAAACGCTTGTAGCTTTCAACATCAAACGGCATAAGAAAACTGCCCAGTAGCGACCGAATGGATAAAATTACTAAACAACGAGCACCGCCAACGGGCCGGGCACGTGAGTTTTCTGTCTTTTCATCACGTTAATTTTTTCTCGTTGTTTTATTAGCAAGAATTTTGCCATTAACATCATCTCATTGTATCGAACACGTAGTTATAATTTTGTAGCCAATCATGACACGAATATCTTGCCATAAACCTAACTAGGGTCAATTGAAATTCATCATCACGATTAAAACAAAGGACTTAAAGCAATTTATACCAACATTAGACACTTAATTCTCCTCGCTTGAATTACTTTTGTAATTTCTGCTTTTATTGGCATGCTTTCATTCGTTATTATTCAATTGAAAGGAAGAAGCGGCTCTTAGCTTGCCTTCGTCATTTCCAGACGAATGACAACACAGAACTCACCACGTGGAGGTGGCTGCTTCGGAGTTCCACCAAGAGTTGGAAAGAATGAAACTCCACAAGTGATTCGAATCACTTGCCGAGTTTCATTCTTCCTAACTCACACTTAAACTACCTCTGATTAATTCAAATTTAACTATTTCAAATTAACGTATTATAACTTAATTTGACAGAATAACATTAATAATAACGTATGATAATAATAAACAGACTAATAAACATTAATAACTTAATAAAAATAGATACAGTCGAAACACAGAGAGCCTTCTCTGCCTCACGGCCGCATCTTCCGTGTTCACCCAAGTTAGCCTTAAATAAGCGGGACACACAGAGCCTTCTCCGCCTTTCGTCGGCGTCTCCTGTCTTCACTCCAGCGGGCCTAAATGATGCGAACACAAAGAGCCCTCTTCATCTCTCGTCGGCCTTGTGTGTTCGAGAAACGGGACACAGATTGCCTTCTCTGCCTTCTATACGTTCCTGAAGTATTCTTAATCACAAAATTTCTGGGAAGGATGAGAAAAGGGTAGAGAAAACGTGGAACTTTCGAACAAATTTACATTTAACAATTGCTACTTACAATAGAAAAAGCCAACAATACATTCTAACAATTCGTTACGTATTGTTGAAATTTATTTTTAACAACGCGTGACGTATTACGATTCCGTCATGTTTTTACGTTACGTGTTACGTAAAAACATTAATGGTTTTGAAATATTTCAGAAAGGATTATTTTGTTAAAATTATATTTGTTACAAACAGGATTATTTGAACTTCTTAAAGTTGAAATAATCTTTTTTCTAATAAATAAAATTATAAAAATGTCGAATTATTCATTTCTTCTAAAGTAATGTTATTAGTATTTTTCTAAATCCAAAGAGCAATTTGTAATGATTGTGGTCCTTTGTACACCAGGTAATGTTACCAGAATGTCTTAACACAAACCTCCCTGTAAAATTTAAGAGATTTTCGACAAAAGGCGAACAAAATCGTGCCCTTTACACAAACTAACATCCATACACGCAGAAAGAATGGCAGTAGTTTTGTATTTGTCACCGTTTCAAGGTCCCGAGCGCAAAAATGTAGAAATATTGGGAGGATCATTTTTTTACCGATCGCCATAGATTTCTTCTGTTATATATAACAGAGCCGGGAAAGTAAAACCAAGCTTAATTATGTGAGAAGATGGACTTTAACGAAAATCCTTTTCGATTTCATCATACATATCTTGAAAACTAACGTTGTTGTTTGTTCTTTACTACCTGACAACTTGTCAGTTTGCAAGTTCTCGGCAGCAAAAGCCACGCTTTCCCTTCAATCCTTTGACCTCCCGGCCGTTTTAATATCGAAACCGACGGCCCAAATAAGCAGTCCCCGACTCAACAAATCGTCACCCGGTCCTATAACGGAAGTCGTCTCCACTTCCTAAACGGATATACAATCGATTCTGACCATTATCCACAACTGTTGTTTATAAAACTCATCCCTACCCTGAAAATTAAGTTCAAATTAAATCAACAGGCTGGCTACGTGGAGTTTTTCGAGTTTTCTTCACGTTTGTGACAGAGCCCAGCTTGTTTCCTATAAAAGTCTTGTATTCATTCCGCTCTTCAGATCGCTCACGATTCACGTTACCGTAACCAAATAAACCAAAGTAATTCTAACGAGCAGTTCTGTATTAGTAGACAAATCTGTAGTTTTGGATAAATTAATTCACCTGTTTTTTTTACATTAGTTATTAGAAGATTCCAGTTTATTATTAGCCCATAGTTATTTGTGTAGACATTACATAAAACTGCATTCAATAGCCAATGCACAGTGACAGTGACTTGTAGAATTTACGTATTCTTTCTCTCCAGCTTTTAGTTGGAGATTTGCCACAGCTGCCCATAAAAACTAGACACACTAATTGAAAATAGATCTAGAGATTTGGTAGCTAAGATTAACTGTTAATTTAAACTATAATAATTAAGTCTTGAATCTATTGAATATCCTTTTATATTATTTATTTATTTAAATTACAAGGAAAACCTATACAGTCGACCCCCCTGTAACACTGTTGATTATTCCGTTTTATATGAATTCCATGTTGTACGAGTCACTTAGATTTTACAAATACGTGAGCCGTTCACAGCCCTGCACATGTATTTGTAAAATCTAAGTGACTCGTACAACATAGAATTCATATAAAACGGAATAATCAACAGTGTTATAGGGGAGTCGACTGTATATACTGGCATACAACATAATAATACAATCAACCAATAACAATTACAACACAAAATAATCTTGATAATTCAGAGCAGAATATTAATTCTATTAAATAAAACAATACAATAATAGTAATATCACTGCAGTTGATAAGGAAAAGTGTCTTGTCTTAGCAATTTCACAAGTACAATATATAAAAACAATTGAACTTTTATGATGATTTTTAGTATTTTTAATGGTATTTCGAACAATTGCAATTTTTAAAAGCTTATTGCTTTTAAAAATAATAAACTGAAATTTAGAGTAAGTCATTCTCAGTAATCACGAACTGAAGTCCAGATTTTTGCAATCGTTCTAACAAGGAAATCTCTTCTAAAGCAGAACCCGGTGTTAGTACTCCTCCACTAGAAAGAAAATTAATGTTTATATACGCCGCAAGTTAATTTAAAATGTATAATGCAACCCGGTTTCAGCGGACACTCCGGTAACAGAAAATGCTCTTATAAGACAAATATTCGCTATAACCTTGCAAAATATTTAAGGTTATAGCGGTGCTTTCAAATCACTTTTACAAAACTAAACTGCATAAAAAATTATAGAAATATTTTCATGCGATAATTAACATAATTTGCTAATAGAAGCGTTAAGTATCATTTGATTATTTAGTTAATTTATTTAGAGAAACCTAAAAGAAAAGATACGACCCGAAGCGGACTCGATAACTCCATCAATCTAAGGAGGAAATTACTCCTTTCAAAAAAATAATTATACTATTTGAAATTATTGTAATTATGTTAATTATTATCCAGAATGTTGTAATGTACTGTGCATTAAAACATTAAAAAATTGTTCAAGTTTCACAGTTGTTCAATGCAATGTCTCAACGTGTGCATCTCGTGTCATACGGTCCACATCCAACCGATACTCAAATACCTCTTACGCTCCCTACAGCATACCCGTTGTCACTCCTTCCACAGCAGACACAATTCTAGCAGCTGATGCAAATTATTCACGCTGCACAATGCTTTGAGTGATTCCGACTTTGAGAACTACAGAACACCAAACGCCTTCTCTATTGCAGAGTCGCCATTTTTGTTTACGGCGCTTCCTAAAGGTAGATGAAACTCGGTTACTTTATCGATTGGTGTATATTGCATACTTCTCGGATAACAATTAACATAATTACCGTAATTTAACATTGCATTATTCTTTTTGGAAGACCCTATATTTCACACGCGGTATGTTGAGATGTACTATCTAAAAATTGAAGCACTTCATTTGTAAAGTTTAGGGAGAGAGAAATCCTAAGAAATGATGGCAGCAAAGACAAGTATAGTATTTTAAAAATGATATTCATTTCTTTTGTAATTTCGTTAGCAGAATGCATATACTTCAATGCTTACTTTTCTGGCATTTTTTCACTCTCTTTTAAGCATGCAATGCCGGCATTAACTAGACAAAGCGAAGTAACATGAAAAGCATCTGCAATTCAGCATTACGAAATAAACTTTTTAACAAGAATACAAACAAACAGGCTATTTCGGCATAAATAATATACTCACCTTTTCCATTTAAAGTTACTCTCATACATCTGTTAGGTGGTTCAACGTGTTGCTCATCGACACCCAGTTTATCTTTTCATCCTTCTGCCCAATATATAAAAGTGAAGTCGGCTTCTTTCATCTGCATACACATAACAATTCTATATTATATACATATATATTTCACATAAGGTATTAAATATCATACGGCATTTTCTGTATTAAAATAAATAGCCCTTAGAAGGAAATTAGCTGGATAGTAGCTTAGCATTTTCTTACGAACCATTCATATTCGGATTACTCTTGATAAGAGCAATCTGAATACAGACACACATAATTTTTCATAATGGTTCAGTTGTTACCGGAATTGGCAGAATCGAGCCAAGTTTCACCAGGAGGTTTGACTTTTATTGTAGGAGTGGTTTTCTTGATTCAATTGAGAAATGAAAATAAGCTGCACGGATGGCGGTGGGGAACATATGCTGAATCTATTACGATTGGATTGGATTGGATTGATGTAATAAGGCAACGCAACATATGGGCGATTTGCCAAGAGGTACCTGCCTCCCGAGTGGGCTTTTTATGTAAACCAGCATCTATTTAGGTGTTGGACGCGTGAAGAAAATCCAGAAAACTCTAAGTGGACAGTCCAAGTAGTGAGGTGTGAACCCGAGACCAATTATGTGTTCAGTGGTTTGGCACTCGGTCACCAATGGGTGTTCCTATCAGGAGACAGCTATACGTTTGTGCTTGGAATTGACTCAATGTTTTTTAAATAATGAATTTACGAAGAAAGAAATTGAAAGGGAGTAACTATGAACGAAATGATGGGATTAAGTATATACTTTGCCACTTCTTACCGCTGGTTGATCTGAACATTGTCAAGTCCACCCATAAATGAAAATAGAGCAGACCGAATTGAGCATTTACTTGCTACTTTACATAAATAAACTTTTATTTTTGAACTACGCAAATCCAATCTAGTCTTAAACCATTTTTCCAGGTAGCATCACTACTTCCAAATAATGGTTTTAAGATTACATTTGAATATATTTTGTAAAGTACCACACTAGCATTATTAGCCAAAATCAGGCATGACCACGGTTTAGGCAAACATTGTTTTAAAGCTTAGTAAAGAATACGAAGAGATTAAGTTTAAACCCTGCTTTAATTGAATAGATTAAAATAAGGATGTTAAAGGCCAGGATCTGATTAAAGAAGATCCTTCCAAAAATTATTTCGTAATTTATAAGGAAATTCATTTGAAGAAGAACATGTATTCTGGCATCTATTTTAATACTTAAAAACAGAAAATTCAGCAATTACTACTTACATAATTCAGTAAATAATTTGATAAGTTTGAAAACATTGCTATCAGTAAAGATAATAAAAGAGTGGAGAAGAAATTTACCGTGGACATTATGTAATATGTCTTTATTTGAACCTGAAAGTAAAAAAAAAATCTAATGAAAAAATTATATTATTTTAAATAAAAATTAATATATNATATAATTACGGGTCTTTGATTTTTATAATTATAATTAAAAAGTTGACTTCGTAATGACACCGTTTCGTCGCATCCCGGAAAAGGTAAACACCATTTACCTATTGCTTCACTTTTAAAGAGGAAATGTCTGAAATATATTAGAAACGTATTAACATTTTTATATATATTTGATAGATTATTATTAGTTTAATTATGTAAGAAAAAGATTTATAAGAGCCTGTATTAATAGGTTTGAAGCTATATTAATATATAGACTGTAACTAGCGGATTAGCTAGGACAGTGTAAATTCTAAAATCAGTAGATATTTCCGGTTGGGATCGGAAATCGGGTCGACCGTAAGTCGGTCCCCTCGAATTGCCGTCCTCCTCGGAAACAGGTAAGGAACCAATGGGAAAATCTTATAAAAACCCGCATCCAAGGACACTTAGGGGTTCTTGATCCATTTCTATCAGTCCCGCCGTGTTCCTTGTATTAATCTCGATGTCTAATGCAACATTAGACATCGTTCCTGCTGAGTTCTCTTCCGTCCGTACGTTTGGTGCGAAGGAAGGCTTGTTGTTGTATAGAATCGTTTATTAATGGGAAGAGACACTTACGATCCTCGGTTTATTGCTAATTTTGACAGAGTCCACGAAGTTTGATCGATTGAACATCCTCCTATGGAAATTCCCACCTCATTATTTAGACATACTGGGCAGAACCCATGATGCGGGGTATACAAAAATTTTTTTATATTATTAATTATTATAAAATGACTAAACGCTTAATTTTGAGAGTAGAGACGAGTGTCATAAAAAACTGTAAATGCTAATATAGAGTAATATCTTCATTAAGTTTGACCCATTCGAGATATAACACATCCTCTATCTTCCCAACCCCTTAACTTTTAACCACCAAAATTTAGTAGTATCAATACGATTAACACACACCCTTTCCTACAAAGTTTCAGAAATTTTCGACAAAAAACATGAGAGTTATTAAGCTCCAAAGTGAGTGAAGAAAATCGTGTCCCCCCACATGCAACCATCCATACGTACAGAAAAAACACCAAACTTTTTTTTTCAATGTCTCCTGAGTCCAAACGTGTAAAAACTTGGAGGGTTATTTTTTTAACTGATCGTCATACTTTCCTTCTGTTATATATAACAGATTCTGGATTCATTAGACAGTGTGGTTCATGATGAGGTTATGAAGCTTTCCCTTCAACAACTTCTTTTATTTCAATAAATACGAATGCACTAAAATATGGACTTTTGATATCACTTTTTGTCATTTTAAGAAGCTACAACTAGAGTTAAATGTCAATAAAACGAGTTAAGAATTGCAGAGAAGAAGGATCAACACAACTGCAAGGTTCTGTAATACACATTTCACCTGAACTCGCGCTGCATGCAATGTACTGTTAATTCATTTCCTCTTAATTGGCCCTTAATGTTTTAAATTAAAAATGGAAAATTAGAACAGAAAATCATTAATAAACAATAAAATTTACAAATTCTTAATTATAATAGGCTTAAATGTAATATTCAAATATCTCAATTTATTTACAACCTTTTCCTCAAAGGATAAGAAAACGTTGGCACTTTCTTGAAGAGTTCCATATTCAGTTGTTCTCTGATGTCCTTTATTTTGTTTTGGTTCTTTATGCCGTAAATAAACGAATTTGTCAGTGCTTTAAGAGTTTCAAAATTAATATTTCGGCGCTGAAAATGTAACTATTATTATTAACATTGTAAAATTATACGTATTATCGAATATAATGTTTAATGATTTATATGCTAACTACCGTTTAATATAATAAACGATTTAATTGTTGAAGGACAGATCATTATTTATAAATACAGTAATACCTCGGTTATCGTCGGTTTCGGATTTCGCCGATGGTTTTCGGACGAATTATCGACGAAAACCGAAGTATTATTGTACAGACATTCCTCGACTTTCGGTTTGTTAGGGGGAACGTAACTCATGCACGATATGCCAAAAGTGATACCTCACGATAGGACTTTCTATGGAAACTGGCCTCTATTTTGGATGTTATACACGTGAAAAAACTCCGAAAACTCCACGTGAAATGCGAATCCACGATTGACTTCGAGTGTTCATGTGTTTACTAGTGGACTTTTTCGACTTTGGAAATTGGACAACTCGATCTTTTGTATATAATACTTTAATACATCTGAATGGAATTCTCACTTTCGTATATTTGCAGACCACAAACAAAAATTTCGAGCTATCGTGCAATGACATGATCCCCAATTTCGGTTCCGGTAACATTAATTAAAATCGTTTTTTTTTACATTAACTGATGGCTCATCAGCCTACCGCTCTAGAAATCCGGTCGGCCTGTTGTGGGCCTGGTCAATCCATAATGAATATAGTTGAAAAAGTCTCAGTCTTATAGGAAAATGCAACTCTACTGTTCGATTTTAGTATAAGTTTATACGAATGTGTTAGTTCAGAAAGCCGAGGATTGTCTGTAGTCGAAGTAGAAGAAACACGAAATTTTGGAAACTTCATTATTCGTCCTTTTCATGCTAAAGGAACAGTTTTTGTTCTGCCCCGCCAAAAACGTCTCTTTAGTGTACAGACTTTTATAATTTCTTCTTCTAAGTCATCTTTCTTCTCCATTTTCATCTCAGGTAATAGCCTACCTTTGAGTAGCCCTGGTATTAATCCCCTATTTGCTAAAAGTCTTTTTAGTGTTTCAATTATTTAAAAGTATAATTTGTATAAACAATAAAACCAGGATGGAAAATTAACTAATAATTGTCTTGACGTGTGTTCAAAGATGAATTATGAAGATTTCAGAGCTTCGTGTTTCTTCTATTACGAATATTTATTAGTAATTCTTTCATTCTCGTTTTATTGAATAAAAAATTAATAAATATATGTACAAATAACGGTTAAATTAATGTTTAATAAATCATTCTTATCAAATAAAAGTTTCATTAAAACGACATGCTGTAACCAGGGGCGCCCGTACATTAGGGCACATAGAGCACGTACTGCTTTTCATCTGTGTTGCCCTTTTCCTATTCCCCGTGGGGGTCCCAAATTCCATTATCAACAAAAAACAGAAAATTCATTACCTCTAGCATATTCTAAAAGTATAAAAGAAACTACTGAACGATATTCGTCCACTATCCCGTTCAACTTTATCGTATGTTGATCCAAACTTGGCTTCGAAGACAAGGAACGTTCCTTCTTTTCAAGGCCAAGTTAGTCCCGATTGCAACCAATACCACCTTGTGGGAGCGCTGATCTACGTTGAATCGTAATCTGAACCTTCTTACATAATGTATGATGCGCTTTTTTATAGCTTGTGCCCCCTTTCATAAGGTTTGCGGGTGTAACTTTCAAACTAAAACGAATAATAATTATAATTTGCAACGAACCTGACTTCCACAAGTAAATTCACAATACGTTTCTACAGAATTTACATCACCTGTAAATAAATAAATTTATTATAATCAATTGTTTCTTCAGATAATTAATTAGCTATAATTGCTCATTATCGTGCAACTGTGAGATTAATATCACAGTCGATGCATACTCAACAGGTAAACAAACGATTTTAAGATGTTTCATACATAAAACTAATGAGTTTCGATGTAGCAATTCTTCGAAAGTTACAGTTAATTATAATTAAAACTAAATTTTTTGATTCCTTTATTGTTTACTGAGGCCTTTATTACTAGACTTGTCACAGTTTCTATACGGTTTCTAACAATACTGACCCATTTTGTCATTGGACTATACACGAAGCAAACAGAGATAAACTTTTTGACTTTATCAATCAGAGAAACACATGTTTGAGAGGAACAAACTCCCTTAGAAAGTGAATTACTGCCTTTATAATCATACTCATCAAAATCCATTAGAAAGTCATCCCAGGAGGTATCCTCCTTCGGCGGCAGATTGCCCATGTGTCACGTTGCCGTAACTAAAAGCAAAGTATTTTACACACACAGAGTAGATGATTACTTGAAAATTTACATTGAAGCACAAACAAGTCTTTCATTTTGTTAATACCTAATCATTAGTTCATTATTAGCAGCACCTAAAAAGATTTTGTTTTATAATTTTATTATCTTAAATGCCACATAAAGTAGAGAAGAAAGTTATGTGTTTTCAATAATACTAACTTTTGGCCTGGGCATAGCAAACTCCAGGGAAGGCTCTGAAAATTATAAAGGGTTGATTTGGCACAAATAGGCATTATTCGGGAATAATTCATAGAACAGTGTATGATCGTTCAACATAATTTTTTTTAAAAAGTATAATAGACTTCACCCATAAATTCAAATTTGTTTGATAATTATATTTGTTCCGGGAGGCATCTCCTCTCCAAACGTGTAGCGTTGCAGGTCTGGTGAGGGGGATGCCTCCCGGAAGGAGGAGGACTGGTCCCCATTTACGTGTTACAAACATGAATAGAACCCGAAAAACTTCACGTGGACAGCCCATTGAGGAGGCGCGAACCCATTGACCAATCGCTGTTCAATGGTGTTATCCAATATGCCACTGATAGGTTCGATCGTTATGAACTATAATAAATTATATTTGTTTTACTTAAATAATAGTAATTAGTTATTTAAACTAATTCAACAATTATAAAGATTTACTATTTTTTTTTTTTATTAACGTAATGTACCTTGAAATTTTCTTTTAATTAATGAGATTCCCAAATCGCAGATGATATTGCCAAATCCACAAGCACCAAGAATATATATCCCTTTTCTTCTAGCCTCTTCGTGATATTTTAATTGCATTTGTTCAAGAAACTGTAATTAATTTTTTGTTAATAAAAATCAAATAAAGTTTTATTAATTATTATTTCCATCCAAGTTTCTTACCATCGATTCTTCAGCTACATCCAAATAATGAGTTTCGGTAACAATACATGTCTTAATGACAGCTTCGCCCAGTAAATAGAACTAAATCAAATAATATATAATTATAACGAGCAATTATTGTGACATCGTCACAATGTCGGGCTGCAATTTTTAATTTATACAATTTAAAATATATGCTCTCCATCTCAAATTTGTAGTTTCTTCTTCCTGTTTATTATGCCTTTCCTGATAACAACAGCCATGCTAATCATCTATATAACTCCATTGAAAGAAAAATTTTTGAATTGAATTTACGACACTTCCAGTGTACTGTATACAAGAAGTTCGTGTGTAGTTAATCGGGACCTCTGCCCCTAAGATTTCCACATCTGATCTCGACTTTCATCTACTAGCACTGTTCTTGAGATTAAGGAAGGACAGATAAACAGACGGAATTTATAGGTCTACAATCTTTTACATTGCAGCCAAACAAATCTATTAAATACTTACGGATCCTACACAATTCAACAGCACTTTGGTCCTTTTGCACATATTTAATAACGAATTTTCACTATTAATATCAGCGATGATTGTGGGCACATTATCTATTGTTTCTCCTGAAAATATTAAATAATTTACTTCGATTAGTTTCTATACAGTAGGGTAACTAAAAAGGTAACAGGGAGATGGAACCCTTTACCTTTAAAAGTAAATCGCTAGTAGCTAAATCAACAATAGCGTATGGGTTAAGATTTTATTCTAATTTTGGGAGTATAAAACAGAAGAAATCCGGAAATATACGTATTGTCACCCTACTTACGTTAAACGTTTAAACTAAACTCAAAAATTTACATTAAAAATAAAAAAAAAATTATGTAATTTTAATAATAATACATACCAAGAGATTGAAGATACTTTTGGGATTCCTTTATTACACTTTTTAATTTGTTCTCGTTTCTTGCCGCTAATGCAAATTTGATATTTTCACGTTTAGAAACTTTAGCTAACTCTTCGAATACGTATTGTCCCGTCATTCCGGTAGCACCAAAAACAACAATATCAAATTGTCTGGTATCCATTTCGAAACAATTGCCTAATACAGTACTTCGACTTAACAGGATCGTCGTATAACGTGCAGAGTAGTATAATATACAGAGGAGTCACTCTCGTTGACGACAATGTTAACACTTATAAGCTGTAAAGATGAGCAGATAATACGTACTAGTGTTGAACTAGAAAAAAGCACCACGTGACATTACGTTATGTTTATTAATATTTTAAACTCTGCATGCCAATATCTGAGGGTGTTATCCATTATCTAGGTTATTGTTTCCTATTTTTCTTATTTTTCGATATTTTTTTCCTATATGTATATTTAAATATAGTAAAAAGTATCGACCTGTATATGTAGGGGAGACCGGGGCAACTTCGGCATGCGGGGCAAGTTTGTCAAGCGCTTTTTTTAAAAAACAAATTAAAAGGAGACTTTGGTTATAGGTTAGGCAGTTGAGTTTTATTGGTGGCTTGTTGAGTGTAGTGTTTTTATTGTTCTCCAACAAGCGTAGTTGAATTATCAAGCAAATTTTCATTTTCGTTCAATTCCATATAATATTTTTTTTCCATTTATATTGAATTGGCAGGTTTTGTTATAATTCCATGATAACGAAAGTTACTTTTCCTGTTAGAAGGATGTAACTTCAACTTATTCACGTGGCCAGATCGTGGCTTGGCATTCTGTTCTCAGGGTTGTACTTAATGTTTCGAAATCATGACTAGCGGGGTAAGATCGGCAACATAAAGCCACATTAGAAGCAAAGGATAAAAATCAAACAGATGATAAATGAAAACATGTTTGCATTTGTTATTCATGTATATATGTCTTTGAACTTGCATTTCGTTGTAATAATATTAAATGGGTGTTGGATTTGTATTTCTTTGTTTTAATAGTGAATTCCAACTTATACATTGTTAATAACATAATTTTATATACGTGCCTATCTTGCCCCATTACTGTTGCCCCTATACCAGGGGCAACTTTAATAAAAATAATTAAAATAATTACAACTTTACAAAAAGAGAGAAGTTGCCGATCTTGCCCCTATACCCGGGGCAACTTCGGCAATTTCTCTCTTCTTGTAAAGTTGTAATTATTTTAATTATTTTTATTTCCAAACTGATTTTAACCAGTTCTATAGTAAGAAAACATTCCAATAGACAATATGCAAAGCTTTTTTTTCAGTTTACAGCAGTATTTATCACACAAAAATTTAAGTAAAGCTTAACATGCCGATCTTGCCCCGGTCTCCCCTACATATACAGGTCGATACTTTTTATTTTAAAAACATAACAAAGGTTATCAAGTTTAAAATAACAAACTTTTGGTTTATGTAATAAAATTTACCGTATATCTAGGCAGATAAGACGATAGTTGAATCATTACAAAAAAAAGGGCTCCCAAAATCCGGGGTCGTCTTATAGGACAGATACAAAAAAATTAGATTGAAATTTATATAAATTAAAACCATTATAAAAAGACAGACAAACTGTAATTATTTACTAGAAAAGAGTAGGGTATGTCCGCAAAATAGAATAGCCCATACGAACGTTTTTGTGTGTGAGATCTGCGAGTTAGATAAAGACACACAATCGAAAATAGATAAAATAAAACACAATTATTTTATTAACTCGCTCGTTAAGATACAGGTTTCTAAGGATACCAACAATGCTACTCCCACCGAATAATCCACAAAATTAATTATTCGACAACCGCACAATATGGTCTCCCGACAAAGACTGCACGCGCGTCGTCCTTTATCCGACCCGATTATTCGATTACTTAAGATTATCTTAATTAATACTAGGTTCCTATTACTACTTAAAACCATTGAATAGAGCCGGCTTATTCGATGATTTAGAAAATGAAAGTAAGAAATAAGGAAAGAGGGTATCCAAAACTTGATGATGTATGCTGCTTGTGTGGGCTCGTGGATGAGGTTCCTTGTGGGGTTGGGGACTGATTAGCTCCCTTTTTGTTTCTCTTTAAGATATTAGTCCAAAGGGTCGATCCGTCTGGTTCCTCTCAATTAAATTCCTTTTCTTTCTCCGTTCCAAAGTTCTCGTCTCGACCATACGATGCTAAACGTACTCGGGAGACTTCCTCTCTCTCTCTCTCTCTTCTTCTTCTTCTTCTTCTTCTTCTTCTTCGGGTTCCCTCCTCCCTCTCCGCCGTTTTTTTCTCTCCTCCAAGAGCTGCCTTCCTTTTTCCTCTCCCGTTAGTCCACTCGCATACCCCAAAAGCCGAGGGAAAAACGAGAACATTTCAGTAAGGGTAAACAACTCCTCCTCTCAGAGCTGCCTTCCTTTCATTGCTTCTCAGGTTAGTCCACCCACACACCAAAGTCAATGGAAAACGAGAACGTTTCATTGCTTCTCAGGTTAGTCCACCCACACACCAAAGTCAATGGAAAACGAGAACGTTTCATTGCTTCTCAGGTTAGTCCACCCACACACCAAAGTCAATGGAAAACGAGAACGTTTCATTGCTTCTCAGGTTAGTCCATCCACACACCAAAGTCAATGGAAACGAGAACCTTTCATTGCTTCTCAGGTTAGTCAATGGAAAAACGAGAACATAACAGTAAGGGTAAACAAATAGGACAGACAGAGGTGAAGCGGAAAATATATGTAAAGAGAAAAATCTCTCTTTCAATTAATTAAATTAAAAAAACAACTTTATCCACGCGTCGCGCTGTCATCGACATAANTTTCCCGGCTCTGTTATATATAACAGAAGAAATCTATGGCGATCGGTAAAAAAATGATCCTCCCAATATTTCTACATTTTTGCGCTCGGGACCTTGAAACGGTGACAAATACAAAACTACTGCCATTCTTTCTGCGTGTATGGATGTTAGTTTGTGTAAAGGGCACGATTTTGTTCGCCTTTTGTCGAAAATCTCTTAAATTTTACAGGGAGGTTTGTGTTAAGACATTCTGGTAACATTACCTGGTGTACAAAGGACCACAATCATTACAAATTGCTCTTTGGATTTAGAAAAATACTAATAACATTACTTTAGAAGAAATGAATAATTCGACATTTTTATAATTTTATTTATTAGAAAAAAGATTATTTCAACTTTAAGAAGTTCAAATAATCCTGTTTGTAACAAATATAATTTTAACAAAATAATCCTTTCTGAAATATTTCAAAACCATTAATGTTTTTACGTAACACGTAACGTAAAAACATGACGGAATCGTAATACGTCACGCGTTGTTAAAAATAAATTTCAACAATACGTAACGAATTGTTAGAATGTATTGTTGGCTTTTTCTATTGTAAGTAGCAATTGTTAAATGTAAATTTGTTCGAAAGTTCCACGTTTTCTCTACCCTTTTCTCATCCTTCCCAGAAATTTTGTGATTAAGAATACTTCAGGAACGTATAGAAGGCAGAGAAGGCAATCTGTGTCCCGTTTCTCGAACACACAAGGCCGACGAGAGATGAAGAGGGCTCTTTGTGTTCGCATCATTTAGGCCCGCTGGAGTGAAGACAGGAGACGCCGACGAAAGGCGGAGAAGGCTCTGTGTGTCCCGCTTATTTAAGGCTAACTTGGGTGAACACGGAAGATGCGGCCGTGAGGCAGAGAAGGCTCTCTGTGTTTCGACTGTATCTATTTTTATTAAGTTATTAATGTTTATTAGTCTGTTTATTATTATCATACGTTATTATTAATGTTATTCTGTCAAATTAAGTTATAATACGTTAATTTGAAATAGTTAAATTTGAATTAATCAGAGGTAGTTTAAGTGTGAGTTAGGAAGAATGAAACTCGGCAAGTGATTCGAATCACTTGTGGAGTTTCATTCTTTCCAACTCTTGGTGGAACTCCGAAGCAGCCACCTCCACGTGGTGAGTTCTGTGTTGTCATTCGTCTGGAAATGACGAAGGCAAGCTAAGAGCCGCTTCTTCCTTTCAATTGAATAATAACGAATGAAAGCATGCCAATAAAAGCAGAAATTACAAAAGTAATTCAAGCGAGGAGAATTAAGTGTCTAATGTTGGTATAAATTGCTTTAAGTCCTTTGTTTTAATCGTGATGATGAATTTCAATTGACCCTAGTTAGGTTTATGGCAAGATATTCGTGTCATGATTGGCTACAAAATTATAACTACGTGTTCGATACAATGAGATGATGTTAATGGCAAAATTCTTGCTAATAAAACAACGAGAAAAAATTAACGTGATGAAAAGACAGAAAACTCACGTGCCCGGCCCGTTGGCGGTGCTCGTTGTTTAGTAATTTTATCCATTCGGTCGCTACTGGGCAGTTTTCTTATGCCGTTTGATGTTGAAAGCTACAAGCGTTTTTGCGTTTCTTTGAAAAAGTCGAGTACAAAATAAAATTTCTGCCAATCTATTTAATATATATAACCCATTCAACGGGTACCTGTCTGTCCGCGTAACGGATGCCAAAAACGGTCACTAGAGGCGCCCTAGCGAAGATTTTAAATTAACAATAAATTATATTTATTTGTAATAGGAATTTATTATTGATATGAATTTATTATTTATACCACGGAATGGTATAAATAATTATAATGTGCCTTGACTTGCCTTATTATATGCCTCGATTAACCTCGCGCCGCACGTTTACGACATCCCGTGACTCACAAGTCAGTGAACGTCGAGCATTGACTCACGGGAAATTTGTTGAAAAAATGGCGGATACATTTAAAATCGAGGTTTACAAGCGAAGGTAAATAAACAAATTAAACTATTTTAAATTATTTATAGAATGTTTAATAGATAGAAATATAGATATGTATGACGCGATTGGGACGGTAAGATTTACCCTCCGAATGAAGGGGGTGGCGACCCCCCCCCTTTGTGCAACAATAAATGGCTAATGAACCATACCCCTACGCGCGACCCTTGCCGAGATATCGCCCACTAGGGGGCGTCCCGGACTACTAGTTTATTATAAACTGCTGATAGATGATTTACAATTGTCCCTTCCGTGATTTATTAATTCTAAAATTAAAATATTTTGTTGAATACATTCTATTACATTAATTCCGGTCTCACGACGGGGGTCGATGAAACTTCGCGGGAATAGCTAAAATATTTGAAATTTTACAAATTTTTCTCGCTCTTAAATAAATGTAGGAAGATGTCNCTAACTAGGTAGTCTCAGTTTCTCACTAATTTTAACAATAAAATTGCCTAGCCTAGCCCACTAACCACTTATAGAATAAAAGTTTAAAACTCTTACTTAATAGAATTAGAAGTTATAAAATATTAGTCTTGTCTTGAATAAAGTATTTTAAAGGATTAAATAAAATTAAATCAATCACTTCTGTTATTTTTTTGACTTTTCTGGAAATAGGATCTCAAGAAATAAATGGTATTGATGGTGTTGTCTCCCAACCTACTTCTTAATGAACTGCATATATATATGGAGAAGGCCCTTTCTTCCTCTACGCTAGTTGGTTTCGGGGTCATCAAATAATCATAAATCAAAGATAAGTTTTCACCTCTGACTCCCTCACTTTCAATAACAGCCATTTCCTTTTTTAATAACTTATCATATTCCTTGTCAGTACTAGTTTCTTTCCGTTTCGTGAAGTTTTCTTTCTCTCGCTTTAGTTGGATCTCCAATTCTTCTTCCAATGTGAAATTCAGGGAATGAATGCGGGTTATCTGGATCATCGTTTTCCGTTTCCAAAATATCCTCAGCCATTGCTGCTGGTTCCACTACATATGTATTTACTCGATTCAGCATATTTTTCATCTCCTGGAGCATTACTTTTTCTTTTTCGGCATTATGAAAGAATAATCGGGCTTTCTAACTTTTTGGTTATACTTCTTCGGGTTCTGTATGTAAATCAGCATCCCTGTACCTCTATAAGACGCCGTTCTCTGATTCTTTTGCGGAGTGCCTCGGAAATGTTGGCACTCAAGATTGTGTCCTGGCTTTTTAGTTTGTCTAAGATAAATTTCAGGGTTGTGTCAGCAGTTATCAAACTCGACTCTCTTCTACAGAAAGCTTTTACGGCCAGTTTATAGGTTAGGTTTCGTGGACAAGCCGCGAGGCTGCAGCTCTCCATAGGCTTAAACTGAGAACGTTCCGCCACGTAATTCATTGACGTCACAACCGACCGTAAATTAGAACTATACACCAGGACTAGAATTTCCATACATTTCTTCGTGGAAATTGTTTATCAAATACAGTAGATCCCCCTATAAAACCGTTTCCTATAGTTATGATTCCTATAAAAATTGTGGCAGTATCCGTAAACAACGGTAAAAATAACTCCTATAATACGTAAAACGTCATCGGGCAGCCGAACTACTTTCCCGCCGTCCGTAGCGCCACGCTACGGA